TCACGGCATTAGGAAGGTTGAGAACCACTGTGCTAATGGGAGGAAAGCAGCAGGGTCAAAAGAATCTGCGGAGAGGAAATAGAATCTGGGAAATGAGGGAAATGCAAACAGAAAGTACTGGCAAAATTTTGTATCTACAGTTAAACAAAAATCGATTTAATCTTTGTGTTTAACTTAAAAAAAAAAGTCTTGCAAAAAAATGTAATCTTACACCGTGGAAATAAAACATGAAGATTCTTGAGTACTTTTCTGTAAGGGGATTATTTGCCAAAGTCAGACTGGAAGTACTAGTTCAGATAATCACTCAAATCTTGTGAGAATGAGGGTTGTTCAGTATCTCTTAAGAGGTGATGATTCCCAATTTTTAATGGGTTTAATATAATTAGAAAATATGTCTCTAAATCCCCAGGAAGAGTCATGACACTATAATTTTATATTTTCTATGTTAACCATTTAAAATCACATTTTCTTCAGCTAAAAATAAGTTTTATCTGTGAACATGTCTGCATGTTATTATTGTATAAGAAACTGGACCTACACTGCCATCTGCTGTGTCATGATTAGGTGAAAATCTCCCACATAAACTGGGCTTGAGCAATGCAAAATATACATATGAAAGCCTGTATAACTTTGCTTTGTGGACAATTAGTGCAGTTATATATTTCAAATTGTATTGTAAGCATGAGGAGGGATTGTGTGTGTGTGTGTTTACTATGACATGAAAAAAATAATAGATAATAATGTAACAAAACTTGTGTCCCCACCACCTGTCCTTGAGAAATCTGTGAGACCTTTAGTGGATGCCTGATATGGTGGATACTATTGAACACTATATATATTACTAGAGGCCCGGTGCATGAAATTCGTGCATGGGTGTAGTCCCTAGGCCTGGCCAGTGATCGAAAGCACGAGCTGGCATGGAAGGGCAGGTCCCAGCTGACCTCTGGGCCCTGGGCAGCACCTAGGCCTCTGGGCCACCACACACCCCACGCCCCCCCCCCCCGCCCGCCTGAGTCATGACACCCGAGTCCCCACGTGGAGATGTGGTGAGCACGGCCGGACGCCGAAAGGCCGGGGGACAGCATGGGCCTCTGGGCCACCCAGTGGTGCCGCACGGAAGCTGGGCAGGCAGCGCGCTCTCTCCTGGCCAGCCTCGCAGACTGGCTCCTGCGTGAACCCACGGGGAGCTCCACTGGTCCCTGCAGTCCCACAGCTGTGGCCTGGCTCACCAGGAAGACGCTGTACGGGTGCGGGGTGTGCTCCTTGCAGGTGCCTGGCACCTGAGCCCGTTTCAAAGGGCACCTGGGCCCTTTGAGCATGTTTCTTTTGTAGCTGACAGGATGTTAAGCTTTCTCAGTAGTGGGGGCTGGAGAGACACTGCAGCAAGAAAGAGTCCTGTTCCTGAGTCCAGTGTACTTACATGGCAGGCTCCCCAGAATCCAGCTCCTCAGCAAATGAGGCTTCCCCCAGTTCCCAGCTCCTGCTGCATGGAGTCTCCAGCCCCCAGCACTCAACTCCTGTAGAGCATAGTGGTCAGCAGCACACAGCCACCTGCAGTTCCCCAGCAACCTGCTCAGGCAGTTTTGTAGTGGAGGGCCCCTGGTGAGACACCTTCGTGAACAGATTCCTCCGGGACCCTGGAGAGGCACAAGCCTCCAGCAAGGTCTACATCTCAGTCCTGGGGACAAGGAGGCTCTTCCGTGGGTATTTTGTCTAACTGATTCTTATATCTGTTATTCCTGTAGTTTTTAGAGCTCTCTTTACTTCTTATTACCCAACCTCTCATTACACCAATTTCCTGTTAGAGTTAACAATTCTCATACTAAACGTTCCCTGTTCAAATTATAGCGTGACTTCTCTCTCCTGATTGGACCCAGGTTGATGCAAACCCCCAGAAGCAAAATAAAAACATGATTTTAACTTAAGACTACCTTATCAGGCACTTGATAAAAGCAGCAATTTATTCGTGCAGAGATGAAATACACACAGTATTTAAAGAAGGAAATGATTTACACATTTGGGATTTAGGTGACTAAGCAAAAGAAATGCATATGAACAGATAATTCTTATGCTTTTTTACTGATATAAACAGTTCAAATAATCATAATTACTTTTGTTTACTTTGTGATCAGCAAGATGTATACATTCGTATCTTAGGAAGGTCTTGCACTGCCCTTAAAATTGACTTAATTGAAAGTTAAATTCAGGGGAGTCACAGACAACTAAGTAAGTTACAAGCTCTCTTCCCTTCATAGTAAAAAGTTTTCAAAACCTACTGTAATTTTAAAGAAAACATTTCTTTTTTAAAAATATGTTGTTATTGATTTCAGTGAGGAAGGGAGAAGGAGAGAGAGATAGAAACATTAATGATGAGAGAGAGTCATTGATCCACTGCCTCCTGCACACCCCACATGGGGATCGAGCCCATAACCCAGGCATGTGTCCTGACCAGGAATTGAACCATGACCTCATAGTTCATAGGTCAACACTCAACCACTGAGCCACACTGGTCAGGCAGAAAATATTTCTTTGTAAAAACCCTCTCTCTCTCTCTCTTCCTCTCTCTCTCTCTCTCTCTCTCTCTCTCACACACACACACACAGACACACACACATACACACTATTGGTTCTGTTTCTCTGGAGAACCCTGACTAACACACAGGGATTCAAACAGACATCAACATTCACTGCAGCATCATTATTCACAAGAGCTAAAACATGGAAACAACCTACCTGCCCATAGAAGAATGAATAAATAGATGTGATACATATAAACACAATGGAATATTATTTGGCCATAAAAAGGAGGGAAGTTCTGATATAGGCCACAACATGGATGAACTTTGAACATTATGCTAGAAAGAAGCCAGGGACAAAAGGACAAATATTATATGACCCCACTTATGTGAAATGTCTAGAATAAACTAATTCATAAAGAGACGGAATGAGATTAGAGATTTCCAGGGGTCTGGGGAAAAGAAGGATCGGAGAATTGTTTCTTAATGAGTATACAGTTTCTGTATGAGGTAATGAAAGAGTTTTGGAAACTGATACTGATGATGTTTGCACAACATTGTGCCACTGATTGTACATTTGAAAATGGCTTAACTAGAAATTTTTGTTATATTTCTATAGTAAAAAAATATGTAAAGGTTAATCATTTATTAATAAATATACTATGTTTTTCAGGAGAGAGAGAGAAAGAGAGAGAGAGAGAGAAAGAGAGAGAGAGAGAGAGAGAGAGAGAGAGAGAGAAAGGATCCTTAACGCCACGTATAATCCTTGATTGGCTCTGGCTTTCTCAATAAAAAGCTGTAAGATATTTTTAGTATAAGCGGGAAAGTTAAATAGAGATGAAACATAAATAGGGACAGAACATTTGATGTTATCATGAAATTGCTAACTTTCTTTGGTGTAATAATAATGCTACAATTAATAGAAGATCATATTCTTAGGAGATACATACTTTTAATGTTTACGGGAAGTGTTATAATGTCTGTAACTAACTTGCAAATAGTGATGCAAAAAGAAGTGTGTGTGTGTGTGTGTGTATTTAGGGGGATGGGGATGGGTGTGCCTGCCTGCTCCTGTGGGGAGAGAGAGGATGATAAAGGAAATGTGCAAAACATTAACAACTGTCAGATCTAGGCAGAGGATACAGGTGTTCATTGTACTAGTCTGTCATTTTTTTGTTGTTTACTTAAACATTTTCATAATAAGTTAGAAACAAAATAAAAAATTTAAAGTCACACCATCCTACCTCCCAGAAATACTCCTGTTAACATGTTGCTTTAAATCCTTTTAACCTTTTTTAAATATATAGATATATAGATAAGAATTCCTTAAAAACAAAAACATGGGGTCAAATGTACATTGGTACCTCTTTATTCAGTCAAGTAAGTTAACAAATGTTTACTTAAACATATCCTCTACGTCCCAGGTACATAGTAAATATTAAAAATCTCTTTGAGTTTTCACTGAATGTCCCAAGAGAATTCAATGTGCCTAATTTATTACAACTATAGTTTGTAAAAAATCACATAAGTAGATGAAAAAACTGTGAACTTTTAGTAACTGCATTGTTATCCAGGGGCATCTTCATCATGAAATATAATTCAGTCGAATTTCATACAGTTGTCATTTTTTTTATTTTTGCTGTTCATTCGTTTAAGAAATATGTACTGTCTATACTGCTCCGCGATCGAGGCGAATGACGGCAACTGTCTGCCCGGAAGCTCATGCTGACGCAGGATCTCCGATGCATTAGGATCTGATTGGGGAGGTCAGAGAACCGGCTCCTATTCTACCCGCTAGTGGCCTCCGAAGGCGCTCGGGGCGGTATTTGGAGGAGGAATATTAGACTCAGGTCACAGTAGATTGGGTCCTGCATGGGCTCTGGATCAGCGAGGGACCCTTGGACAAGTTGCTTCACCTCTCTGTGCCTCAAGGACGATGTTGTAATGTAAAGCTTAAATAGTAGACACGAGGCGCCTAGATCCATGTCTGGCACCTGAAAGCTTAATTTGCTGAGCACCTGTAACTGTTGCTGCTAATTTACACAGAGCTACAATGTGCTAGGCTTCGTGCTTGAGGTCAGGGCAAGAAACAAGCCATGCCCTGCACCCGCCTTAGTGGTTTTCTCCGGTACCCTTCTCACTTATCGTACACTTAAACAAGCCTCTATTCCGGGTATAAAACTTAGAAAACGTTAAATTCCTAAAAACCTGTATGCTTTTTGTTTCTCCCTGTTTTTGCCACCTCCACCTGGGCTGAGGCACTTCTCTGAGGGCTTGACCTCTGGGGCGGGCAGCATTCCGAGGCACGGAGGCCTCTCCCACCCACGTGTGCGGACCCGGAGCGCCAGGTGGGGCACGGGAAGCCTGTCCCCGCACAGCTGCGCCCGATGAGCGCACCCACCAGCAAACCCAACTCCGATTGGTCCTCTCTCCGCCTCGCCGGCATGGCTGTACCCAATCGGCGCCGAGCTTCTTGATCCGCTCCGGCAACCGACGTACACAAGGGGCTTGGGCGTCCGTGGAGGGAGCGAGAGGTCAGGCCATGAACTTGGGGTAAGCTGGGGTGGGAAAGGGGTCCCACTTGAAAGGGCGAGAGGCTGGGTGGGCCCCGGGGCTCCTCGGAGAACCTTCCGGGCCTGCGGCGCCCTGAGGTGAAGTGGGCGGGGCTCCGGGGCGGCCTTCACCGTCCGCCACTGCCCTCGCTTTCCACTTCGCAACGGAGTTAAAGCCCCTTTTCCCTCCTGAGGAAGGGGAGGCGTGCAGGAGTGGAGTAAACGCGGGGGAGGAGGGGATGGCGGGTTCCCGGGGAGGAGCCTGGCCCAGGCCGGTTCTCTGCACCTGCCTTGGGGGGTCTGCGGGTCGTGCGGGCGCGCGGAGGAGGTGAACGCCCGCCGCGGGGCCCGGGCCCCTCGGAGCGGGGCGTTGCGGTGCGCCGCGCCTGACCGGCCCCTACGTAGGCGCTGAGTAAATAAGGAGGACGGCTGCCTGGTGTTCATCCCTGAGAAGTTTAATATTTTAAGGGGGCGAAAAGTCACCGAACGCAGGCCACTTCCCATCGTCTAGCACGTAGACTTTTTGTTCCAGGATTTAGGGACAAGAAAAGGCAGCCGGCTGCCCAACAGGTGTGCCCTGCGGTTTCATTTAAAGCAGCAGTTCTCAACCTGTGGGTCGCGACCCCTTTGGGCGTCCAACGACCCTTTCACAGGGGTCGCCTCAGACCATCGGAATAACATATATAATTACATATTGTTCTTGTGATTAATCACTATGCTTTAATTATGTTCAATTTGTAACAATGAAAATACATCCTGCATATCAGATATTTACATGACGATTCATAAGAGTAGCAACATTACAGTTATGAAGTAGCCACGAAAATAATTTTATGGTTGGGGGTCACTGCAACATGAGGAACTGTATGAAAGGGTGGCAGCATTGGGAAGGTTGAGAACCGCTGATTTAAAGTGTGTGTTTCACCGACATCAGCACGGACTCTTGGTATCCCCGCAGCAGGGGAGCCCTCGGAGCCGCCTTTCCCAGCGTTTTATCTTGGTCAGCACCTCGAGGTGACGTGTGTCCCCCTTGTCCCCCCCAAACACCTCCTTTTCGTGTTCCTAGTCAGACCTTCCCAACCGCGCTCTTCGTTGACTGGCCCGCCGGAGTGAGTTTTGTCCCTTGGAAGTCACTTTTGTCCCATCTTTTTTTTTTTTTTTTTTTAAGCTAAAATAGTAAATTAACTTTGTGGGCTGCTGCTGCTGTTTTTAGAGGCGTTTTTATGAGGACCTTCACAGATGCACGCGTTTATCGGCAGCGTCTGCTGGGACTCTGCTCTCTGCTTTGACATGCACAGGTGAAGAGTAGAGGAGCCGGCCCTGGCCTGGGTGGCTCAGGGGGTTGGACGCCGTCCAGTCCCGAGCCGGAAGGGTTGCGGGTTGCATTTCCCCCCCACCCCCCCATCGGGGCACGGGCTCCATCCCCAGTAGGGGGCGTGCTGCAGGCCGCCGATGTTTTCCTCTCTCGCCCTCTGTCCATAAAATCAATAAAAAAATCTTTAAAAAATGTATAGCAGCCACAGTTTTTTGTAGCGGGCAGGGCAAAAGTACATTTACAGTTGTTCGTATGGAAAGTAATACAATAATTAACAAATAATACAAGAGTCAATTATTTTGAATACTCAAAACTGTAAAGCTACATTTGCCCCTCCCTGTAGATTTATTGTTGTGATAACAAATGTGTCAGTAAATGTGAATATATATTCGTTGAATATTGAAAGTATCTGCGCTCAAACAGTGAGTAACTGGGGTGGCAATGTGATAGCTCATTTTCAAATAATGCACTAGCATGCCATAAAATAGGTTAATCAGGAGACCATTATGAAACTAATAAATGGAGTTAGACATGTTTTGCTCCTTTAACTTAAGTGAGGAGTTTTGTTAGCATTGCTTTTTCCAGTCTAGAGTTATAAGAATTAAGTGATAGTATAATAACTGAATTAATTTGTTGCTTACCAGTAACAAAATGAAGTGTCAGGTTAAAGATAATTCTTTTAATTATTGGAAAGTTTCAATAATGTGGATCTCCCTGTAGTTTCAGTTTTATCTTTGATTGAAAATGTTTTTAATTAAAAGAATGGTTTAATATTTACAAGATTCCTGTATAACTCAAAAGAACATTTACTTTCAGGTTCAAGTGAGCATTTCTGGCTATTTAAAATGTTGCTGTTTCTTACAATTTTCTTTCATTTTGCAGAGATGGTTTAAAGCTTGAAACTGAATTATTGGATGGAAAAACCAAGCTAATATTGTCTCCATATGGTATGCTCTGTTACTGGAATCTAAAAATGTTAACTTTTAAAATTCCTATATAAAATTTATACTACTTTAACTGACTTTTACTTGTAGTAGAGGGGATATTTAAATGGGTACTTTGGAAAAAAAGCAGTTTACCCTAATTTCCTCAAATTGATTTTTAGCCAATTCAGGGTACATCACTGCTTACCACTGTCAGTATTCATGAAATTGAATGTTCCAATATAGTTCATGCGTTATATATCTCTTCATTATATTTACATATGGCAAATATCCCAATTGCCTAATGTATAATCTAAGTGAAAATGTACTTATGTACTGTGCATGTAAAGAATGTAATGTTTGAGAAAATTAAATCTACAGTAAGACCACAGTTGCTAAAGCCATTTTTCATATTAATTTTAAAACTCAGAGTATATACTTTGGTAGTCTTCTCATTCACATTATTTTCTTTTTCCCTGACCTGTTTATAGTTTTTACCTTGGAAAATAAAAATGAAGTAGAAATGTTTGAACCATACTATAAAACAGCACTCAGGACCTAAAGTTAATGCTTTTTGGGGTTAATATATCTACTGATAGTAATATCTTAAAACAATGCTAATTTAATTTTATAACTGCCTTAGTCTGTTTTCAGTTGATAGTTTAGTAATTTTTTTTTTCTTTTTTAGAACGTAAATCAAACATTTCTGTAAAGGTAAGCCAAACAAATGACTTTGACCTGACCTGTTTTCAAATGTAAAATGTGTTTTTCTTACAGTGATTTGAAAATAATCTGTGCTAAAATATTATAAGGGGTTAGGAGTGATGGTAAGAAGTTATTGTTCCCTTGTCTTCAGGCTGGTTCTTTCACAGGAATGGAATAATAATTTTTCTGTTGTAAAAGCCTTTTAGAACCCTTTTCTCTACTTCAGTGCTGGAAATGTTCTAAAAATAGTGCTTTCAATATGGTAGCAAGCCACTAGTGGTATGTGGTTATTGACTGAGGAAGTGAATTTTAAATTTTATTTAATTTTAAATGTAATAGCTACTGTACTGGACAGTACAGTTCCCAAGATGTTTAAAAATAGATATTCATACTTGAAAACAAAAATATTTTCTTTCATACTCATTCCATTTTTTAAAACTTTTATTTTTCAATTACAGTTGATATTAGTTTCAGGTGTACCGCATAGTGATTAGACAATAATAAACTTTAAAAAGCATACTCACCTGGCACAATACACAGATAATACAACATTGACTGTGTTCCCTATACTATACATCCTCATACTGATGCCATTTTTCCACACCAAAAGGGTATATTTGATTCACAAATTCTTAATATGCATTTAGCTTTCTCCTTTAAGAGATCAAACTTGAGCTTAATGATGATTTTTCTTTAAAATTTTATTTTTTTTAAATCAGGGAACCATAGTGCCTTTTTCTTTTTGTTAATCCTCACCAAGGATATTTTTCCATTGATTTTTAGAGAGAGTGGAAAGGAGAGGGAGAGACAGAGAGAGAAACATCTATGTGAGAGAGACACATTGATTGGTTGCCTCCTTCGCACACCCCAACCAGGGCCCAGCAACCTGAAACAAGGTACGTGCCCTTGAAAGAAATTGGAATTGAAACTGGGACCCTTCAGTTGGTGGGCTGACGCTCTAGCCCAGGGGTGGGCAACCTTTTTGTGAGTGCGTGCCAAAACCAGCAAAATCTCTGACTCAAAATTCTTCTGCGTACCAACCCTAATTTTTTGAGAACATGTTACGCCTACTTGATATCTCTTAAGGTGTACGTATGTGAAGAACCTTGAAGAAATAATAAAGTTCATTCAAGCGACAAAAACACAGTATATGATAATGAAAAATACATTTATTTTTTAGTGTATACATGTACACTGATAGTCCGACAGAAAACTTTATGACTCCGTTTGATATTATCAGTGGGACTTTTGCTGCTGCATCACTGATGACAGAGATTTTACATCAGGTTTATATTTCGTGACCTTCAGAGATATGCACGAGCTACTACTTTCATCCGTCAGGCTACTCCTATTACGAGACTTAACAAAATTCATCACTGAGAACAAAAGCGTATGTGGATGAAAACATGGAGAGTAATGCTGTTGCAAAGTTTTTTAAACAGAAAAAATTTTCTGGAATGGCATTCCAAGTTCTCAATAGTTTGTTTTCGACACTTCTCTCTGGTACTCCTGTCTCTAATCGCTTTTTTTCAATGTTTTCCAAGTCAACTCTATGGTCAATAAATTTCTGCTTCCAACTTGAGCTACTCTGAAATTCAATCAACTGCATTTCAAAGTCAGCCATGTCTATGGTCTTTAAGATAACTTGGGTTGTATAATTATTTATTTATCTAAGATGCACCTACACTGAATTTATCTGAAATATAAAAAAGTCGATATTAAGAAAAAAAATTATAAATGGAAGATTATAAGAGAGGGTTTCACGTGCCAGCAAAAGTTACTGGCGTGCCATGTTTGGCACGCGTGCCAGGGGTTGCCCACCCCTGCTCTAGCCACTGAGCCAAACCGGCTAGGGCCATAGTGCCTTTTTCTACAAAATTACATTACCAACTATTAAAAAAATGTTTGATATCACTACTTTGCCTGTACTCTTTTTTTTAATTTTTAGATTAACATCAGCAGAAATTTCTACTCTGCTCTTCCTTAACTTTATTCCCTTTTTTCCTTTTTCTTTGCAGCATCTTAAAGTTTTTCTTGCATGTTTATGAATGGAGCCCATTGGGGATAATATGGCACTTTTCAACTCTGAGCCCTTGATGTCTTTGCTGTTTCTTCCAGGTTTAATCAAGGGGGAGAGGTTGCTTTAGTACCCACCATATTGATAAATGGATGATGATGATTAGAATAATTCCACAAGCTACCAATAAAAATTATTTCTCTCTGTACATGGTATATACTTACATACATCGTGTTTCTTAATGTTTGACTACAGATTGTGTATTTTTTCCTGGCCCTGCCCTGTTAAGATATTGCAACTATTTTTATTTGAGTCACATTAACCAGTACAGTGCCCCTTTAAGCTTCTAGATTAAAAGCTACTTGTACTAGATGATTTCTACCTCCCCTAGCCTCTATTCTCTCTCACATGTTCCCTCTTTCATTGTTGTCCTTGATGGACTTACTAGCTACACCACTTTTGTGAAGACACACCACTTTTGTGAAGACATTTAATTGTTTTTTTTAACGTAGAACATCTGGAGATGCCTTTGATGCCTATAAGTAAATAAAGTTACTAGTCAGACTTTTGGTAGAATCATTACAAAATTTTATCTGTGATCTAGGGATATTTTACTCTAGTTTCTAGAGTAACTCATAAGTCACAGATGATGTTGATTTTAAATTATATATTTTAAAGCAAGTTGTTTGGATTTATCCCTCTTGCTTTTGGAACTCCAAAATACTGATAAATGGTAACCATGAGGTGAAGGTTATGTTAATTAGCTTGAGTATGGTGATTATTTCAGTGTAGACATGTAACAAATTATCGTTGTATACCTTGAATGTACACAATTTTTAAATTGTCAATTATACCTCAGTAAAACTGGAAAAAAATACTGATGCAATCTAAGTTTTCCTTCGATATTGATTTTATTTCAGGGAGCTTTTCTTCCCTTGTTTACAGAGCTTGCTGAGATCCTCATTTCTTTCTTCACAGAAGATAAAAATCCCAAACACTAGTATTTGTTTTCCTTTTTTGTGTTAGTCAGTTTTTTAACTTAAACTTCACAATTTGGCAGCTATATGTTTAATTCATTTTTTTTTTTTAGTAAGTTATTCATGAATTCTCTCTTCATAGTGCTTTTCTTTTTTCCCACTGGGGTAAGTTACTACAATACTTATCTACAATTGTTTTGCCCATTCCTCACAGGTTGAATTACTACCATCTTCGTGGTGTGCTCTTTAAACACAGCTGAACTCTCCCATCTAGTTTAACACGTGTGGTCAGAGAACTTTCTTAATTCTATCAAAATCTCTTTTGCATTTTGAATCTTTGTTAATGAATATGAAGTGAAGATAGTTACCAGCCTTATTTCTTAGGCTTATAGGAAGATAAATGAAAGAAAAAAATTAATGATTTAATGTCATGAATAATTTATGAATTCTAAACTCTTAAAATTATCTCACAAATTATTTGAAATATAAAACATTAAAAATTTTTGTATAGGTTTTTCTACGTATGAAAATTAGTGACACACTAAAGATATATACAATATTAGTGCTAGGAAGTACATTTTATATACTAGTATATATTTTTAATCCTCACCAGAGGAGTGAGGATATTTTTTCCATTGATTTTTAGAAGGAGTGAGAGAGAAACATCAATGTGACAAAGACACAGTGATTGGTTGCCTCCCACACGTGCCAATGGGGGAGGGGATTGGACCTGCCACCCAGGTAGTGCTCTTGACTGAAGCTCCAACCACTGAGAATGCCAGCCAGGACTACACATTTTCTATTTTAAAATGTTACTTTTCTCTGATTCTGGCCTTGGGATCCTGGCCTCAGAAATTGTGAAATCAGCCAATATTAAACCACTGCATTGGATACTGTCTTTATATTATGAAAAATGTTGGTAGAATTAAACTAGGTAAAAGAGCAACATGCTACATAAAAATGTTTATGACAAAGACCCTCCTTTTTGAGCTATTACAGTCATCTTATTCCATAACCCCTGGGGAAATGATCTGGGCTACATTTTTTTCTTATTGGTTAACTTGAATATTATTGAATAGTTATTTGGTAGTTTACAATTTTTTGCTGCTTCTTTTCATTATTCTTTGGCATTAAGCTACAAAAAGTATTCAAAGTTGAGCTGAATGTATAGTGTCCTTGTGCTAGGTTTTTTCTTACCCACCCCTTTGTTAAATATTTTTGAAAATCTTCTCTGTATATTATTTCTTTGTTTTTGCATTTGTTTGTTTCTTATTTCTTTTCTTTTTGTGTGTATATTATTTCTGATGTAATTGGAATGTGGTAAAGTAATCTAGTTAAATTAGAGCTCCAATTAGTAGGTTTCTGTTTAACAAGGATTTACTACACTGTAAAAGTCCAGTATATGTGTAGAGCTGTATTCTTGGCTTTATTCTGTGACTGAGAGAGAAGAGTAAAACCTAGTCCTTGTTTCCTGGAAGTGGGAGTATCAATCAGGTAAATAACTATATAATACAAGAATAAAATGGGTGTCATATTAGGGTTATAAATAGAAGAAAACAGCCCTTGCTGGTTTGGCTTAGTGGATAGAGTGTCAGCCTGCGTTCTGTTCCAGTCAAAGGCACATGCCTGAGTTGTGGGCTCCATCCTGAGTAGGGAACGTGCAGGAGGCAACCGATCAATGATTCTCATCATTGATGTTTCTCTCCCTCTCCGTTCCTCTATGAAATCAGTAATATATATATATACATATATATATATATTGAAAACATTGAAAAGAGCAACTCTTTGTGGTTTGAAAAGACCAGGGAATGCTTCATAAATGAAGTGACATTTTAATTAGAACTTAAAAGATGAGGGAGATATTTACAGTCAAAGAAGTAAGGAAGCATATTCTGAGCTCGAAATGGTGGGCAAAATACCGAGCTACAAAGCATAATTTGCATTTGAGGAATAGTGTGTACCTTGGGGAAGTGTAGAACGTAAAGCTTGGTGGGGTTACAATCGTGAAGAGTTTA